CGGAGTACCTTCCTCTTCGAAATACACTTATAGACTGAAGTGTTGTTCTCTAAAACAAAACTTTGATTAGAAAGTTGTTTAYGATTTTTCTTATGTTGATTATTTCTGCAACGGTAATTAAAACTCTAATAAATAAAATTCAATATTATAACGTTCAAATTCTATTATTTTATTCATTCTAATATARTTATTTTATTGTTCATGCGCAGTGATGAAATTACAAGTGTTAAATTATTTGTAATATAAGACGGGTGTATTAGAATATTAAAATAATTGTTAATTAATTGATAGAAGTATCGATTATTGTTTAAAGTACGAAATATTTTTTCGGAGTATATTCCTATGTATATGTAATGGTAAATATAATTAATATTCACAAGCACATATCCAAATAAATGGATAATGAAAGTTATTTTGATTGTTATTATAAATCCCTTTAAACCTTCTTTACCGATTTTACAATGCAGATTTCTTTATCGACTATGTCTTACCTACTGATTTTTTTATTGATACTAATGACCTACCTTACCGACAGTAGATCTAAAGAATATATTGAATTTAAATGCTCATATGATTTACAATGGTATGATTATCTTTCTTTAGTGTTGACGTTATAAAAAGTACTACTAAAGTAATAGTAACAATATTTTTAATTTGAGATAATGGATTGTAATAGATTAATAAAAAGAACTCGATAAAAAATTAAACTACCAGAGAGCGCGAGTGATTTTAAACGTATATACAGTAACCTAAATCTAATCAATATGTTAAAATAGTTCACGAGTAATGACCACATGGTGTGTATTAGACTTCAAAGATGACAGTGGACAATTTAATTTAATAATAAAGTTTGATATTATTTTATAAAAAGTAATTATTTGTTTCTATAATATTTCTAGAGAAATTCTTAGCCCTTAGTTGAAAAGAGTAAACAATATTATTTATATAATGATTTTCTTAAAGATTAGTTTATTTTTTGGGCTTCTAATACTCGTAAGTGGTGCACGAGAATATAAGAAAAAGGATTTAATCGCTCTGAGGGAAGAAGTGCGATCAATGTTTGATCATGCATATTCTAGCTATTTATCTTATGCATATCCTTATGATGAATTAAGATCACTTAGCTGCGATGGTTTTGATACTTGGGGTAGTTTTTCATTAACATTGATCGATGCATTAGATACCTTAGCTGTGATGGGAAATTTCTCTGAGTTTCGTCGTGTCGCTGAGATTATAAGCGAAAGAGAAAATTTTGAAGCTAACATTAATGTATCTGTTTTTGAAACAAATATTCGAGTTGTTGGTGGACTTTTGAGTGCTCATTTATTGTCACGCAAAGCAGGTGTACCTTTAGAACCAGGATGGCCATGTAATGGTCCATTGTTACGTCTTGCTGAAGATATGGCCAAAAGATTGCTCCCTGCTTTTGATACACCAACAGGAATGCCATATGGGACTGTTAATTTGAAGTATGGTGTTCCTGAGGGAGAAACAAGTATTACTTGTACAGCTGGAATTGGTACCTTCATTTTAGAATTTGGTACACTTTCTCGCTTAACCGGTGATCCCATTTACGAAGAAGTTGCTATCAATGCTTTGAAAGCATTAAATCATTACAAATCTAATATTGGATTAGTTGGTAATCATATAGATGTATTGACTGGTCATTGGACAGCTCAGGATTCTGGAATCGGTGCAGGAATCGATTCATATTTTGAGTACTTAGCAAAAGGAACACTATTGTTTCAGGACCCATGGCTAGCTGCAATGTTTCATGAACATAAAGCTGTTGTAGAAAAGTACATTCGCAGAGAAGATTGGCATTTATGGGTTTCTATGACAAAAGGTCAAGTTACTTTACCTGTGTTTCAATCCTTAGATGCTTATTGGCCAGGTGTATTAAGTCTATTCGGAGAAATAGGAGATGCAATGAGATCTTTACACAATTACCATCGTGTTTGGAAACAGTTTGGTTTTACTCCTGAATTTTATAATATTCCCCAAGGTGAAGCTGGAACAAACAGAGAAAGTTATCCATTGAGACCAGAACTTATAGAATCTGTAATGTATTTATATAGGGCTACTGGAGACCCGTATTTAATTGAAGTAGGAGTTGATATACTCAGAAGTCTACAGCATAGTGCCAAAACTAAATGTGGTTATGCAACTATTAATGATGTACGTGATCATCGGAAAGCAGATAGAATGGAATCTTTTTTCCTTGCAGAAACAACTAAATATTTGTACCTTCTCTTCGATCCAGATAATTTTATTCACAATAATGGACAAGAAGGAGATATCATAAAAACACAATGGGGTCATTGTATCGTTGATTCAGGAGGATATGTTTTTAATACAGAAGCACATCCCATTGATCCTGGTGCATTATATTGCTGTCGCAGGATACAAAATATATTACCGGATAAAATGTCAACTTCAGATAAATTTTTTACTAAAAACGATCAGAAAGAAGAATACAATTCAAAAGATAGGATTCATGAAGAAGATAATGTACATAAAAATGACACTAATAATTTTGTAGAAATTATTAAATTATCACAATTGAGACATAAGCTGATGAACGAAGTAAAAACTACTAAAAAATATGAAAATGTTGAAACATTATTTATGCAAGAAATTGTTTCTGAAAATGTTTCAAAAAATGAAGATGAAACTAATAAAAATATAACGCTTCAATCAGATTCTGCAAAGATGCAAGTTATGGCACCTCCAAATGTAATTTATAAGGCTGATGATAGTGAAAACGCAGATACTTTTGAGACACCCATTACTTCAAATGATCAATATGACTCTACAACTATTCAGAATAATACAAAACTACCTAAAACAACAGTTAGCAATCACATTACAAAATTTGAACCACAAATTATGTTAGAAAATATTAGAAAGAAAAATATGTATCCAACGAATACTACAGCAAAATCAATGTATCAGATTTTGTCCTGCCAGTCGCAACCATTCCTACAACGAATAGCTATCATAGGAGAATTTTTTTAAATACTTATTTCAATAATTTTACTCGTGTATAACTTTCTATCTCTAATTTTGTTCGTTTAACAACAAGCCTCTTTCTATAATTTTATTGTTATTTTATTTCAATTTTAAAACAATAAATTCATTTTTGAATTTAAGAATATATAAATAAATTTATTTTTTTTTTATTTGATTTAAATGGCTGTGAGATAATTGTTATTTGAAATATATATTTTGCAATTTTGTTTTTTAAGAATTTCATTGATCAACATAGGGGGTAGAAATCAGATATTTTCAATGTATCTACATAGAAGTTCTTCGTTGATTTTATCTAAGATCATTGACAATTTTTTATTTATAAATATTGATAAGTCACAGATGAACTTCTAAGTAAATAAATATATAACTAAAATTATTAACATAGATATTCTCTTTAAAGAATTCATGCTTAAATGTTTTAAATTGAATCATTATAAGTTTTTGAATAGATGCTTTTTTTGTTTGTTTGTTATAGCCACCCTTTATTTGAACAAAAATTGTCTATCGTTTGCATTTTGTTTCGTTACTAATCAACGTAGAATTTAAACTAACAATACCATCATTCATAAATCAATATCATTTAAAAATTATTCTCTGATTTTTGGGTATCAAGTATCATAAGCATGTTAGCTCGTTCGAATATACATAAACATTTACAAATTTCATTAATGAAGAGGATTAATACCTTAATGACAGGTATAAATTAAATATAGTATGAATAATAAATTATTAATTTTATGCAGCATGTTTTGATAGTGATGATAATTGATGATATCTATACTAATGATATATGTAATATTCGTAGGTAATATAAGAGCAATGGAAAACTCAGAATCGAAGAAGGAAGAATCAGCACGAATGAAACAATTTCATGAGAAACTGAAATTACAGCCAATGCCACGTATGTAAAAATACATATTTTAAATTAGCTAAAATATGAATAGATATCTTTTAAATACTGTTCATATAAATAGGTGTATCACCACGTGAACGTTTCATTGATTTGGTATTGGTCGATACCGATCCTAAAACTGGAGAATTAATTACAAATAGTGAAAAGGAACCAACCAAATGGGGTGATTGGCAAATCGGTGGAAGGGTGAGCGACTTTTGAGCAAAAAATACTTTTATATCCCTCTTTCATTTAAAGATATAAATGTATATCCAAAGTACAAGAAAAAATAACAATCTCAGTTCAACGTTAACTTACAAAATTCATATTAATATAAATCTTACTTAATAAGTAAATAATAGTACTCATTTTTCTTCTAAATACACAGTTACAAGTTATATTTTTTTCATACTGTTATGGTTGTCAATGCTAGGTGAAATGATATACATTAGATTTTTAAAAAAATTATTCATTATATATATATATATATATGTATATATAACAGGGGAAAAATTCTAATTTATATATTAAATTTTTATTTTATAGAATTTTGAAATAAATATTTAATCTATTTCCTTTATGAGTACATGAAATGTACTTATGAACAAATTTTTTAATTATAAATTTCAGTAAATGAATAATTGTAAGTAATGAAAGAACTTTGAAATTCATTGGTAAATTTTTATACATGGAATATATATTATGAACTATTTATTATTTATAAAAATATGTTTTATATACTTGAATTTTATTAAAGCCTAATCTTATGCACTACCAGTAAAGCTGAATGTACATACATAATCACATTTACATTTGATATATATATATATATATATGATAATAATAATTTTTTTTTTAAAAGTACAGAAAAATTCTTTACTAACATATTGTTAGTGTTTAATTTTTTAAAAGATATTTTAAGAAGATTATAGAATAGTAATTAAAATTTACAAAAATTGTAATAATATTCTTTTATGGAAGACTATATGAAACCACTTTTTTTTACTTGTTTAATATATTTAGAAAAAAGATGAAATAAAATAGAAACAAGTTTTTTAATGTTAGGATTTAGTTTGAAATGAACAATACAAGATGAGTACTTCTCAAGTTATAGTTTTATATCATGTAATATAGAAAATACAAGATCTTATTTATGAGAAGTAAAAAATAAAAATTCGTAAAATATTTACATAAAATATTTTTTTTTTGCTTCTTTTTTTTCTTCTTTTTTTTTTTTTTAATAAGTTCTATAGTTTATATTCCTTTTTGTTTATTTGAAATAGTTTTCACAGAGAGAAATATTTTTTAACTATTATTATTTTTCAATACTATACTCTGTGTAAAAAAGTACATTTGGATAATCTAAACATTACCCAATATAAAAATTTGTATGATAATGCATAATTAGATTAAAAATATCTGTATAAGTGTGTAAAAGTTCATTCCTTTTTTTTTTGTTTTTTTTTTTTTCACAGTTATGGCAATGAGATATATTATTAAATTTTTTCAAATGAAAAATTAAATATTCTTAAATATTACTCAGAATTAATTAGAAAATCATAATACATAAATATATTAATATTGAAACTATTCAAATTTGTCAGTCTTTCATCTAGCATCGACGGACCTATAAACTGTAGTTAAGGTAGCATCGAGTTGTTAAAAATTACAGATCTTAACGATTTATAAACTATAAAGTTTTATTGATAGCTAACACATCCCGCATCATCATATTTCTGAGTGTCCATAAGGCATTCACCACATTTCCATGGTTGCCCACACCATTGCCCAACCATTCAGCAGGTAATTTAGTTATATCAGGAATTTGGGTATTTTCAGGAGTAGCATTCATTTGTTTATCCCAATTTGATATGTAACGGTTTTCTACATTTAATCCTTCAATATACCTGGAAATCAACTCAGATATTATATGTTCGTAATATTATGTTCAAATTTGATCTCTTCTTACGAATGACTTTTACATTAATAACGTATTAAATAGACATTCTCATTATAATGATTGTACATTATAATGTAGAATGTTACCGTAAATATGCATCCGAATGTAATACTCGACTCGGCCTTGGAGGTACAGCAACAAACAATGGCTCTGGTTGTTTGGTAGCTGGTATATTACTAGTCTGTGTTGCTGCAGCTGATGTTTCTAACACATAGATTATAAATTAATAAATATCTTCTCTAGCATAGCATTTAATTAATATTTAATGAATACTTTACCTGTTTCCATTGGTGGGAGTATCGTAGGACCTTTCGAAGCCATATAGTTTCTGAATAAACGTGTCAATTAATTATTACATCTTAAAAATATATGTATATAAATTGTATAAAATATTTAATAAAATAATAGGACATACTTGCTTCTTTCGGAGGGTGGGATGATACGACCATTTGATTTAAGAATGTGTACTTCTTTAACGTGTCTTGCAAGTCTCTGTACACTTGGAAATGGTGGTACAGTTTTTCTAGTACGACCACAACCACGCCATTGACATTGGAATTCAACATCTATACAATACAATAATTGGCATAATATAAATTATATGACATAGTTCAATATAAATTATTAAACAATTAATATCTTACCAGAAGCAGCATTCATGAAAGATGACTGTACGTGTCCATTTTGCTCAGCAATGCAATGATCAATGCAATCAGTCATATCTTCAAATTGCCAATCACAGTTATCCCAACAACATTCATATACTACATCTTGTAATGCATTAGTTCCAACTGTCATAGATCCACCTTTTAGTTGTCCTCCTCCATCTTCATTTATTTTAATAGCTCTTTCTTCCCAAGCTTGCTTCTCTCCTGCCGGTAATTTTCTCCACTGAAATATATAAATTGTTATTTATTATTTATAATATTCTAATTTATGTACATTATAAAAAAAAAAAAAAAAAAAATAAGGATTAAGTATGTGAAATTTTAAAATAATTATTATGTTGCATACTTGTTCCTTCAAACATATTTTCATAATAAAACAAAAAAATATGAATGAACAAAGAAATAAATACCTCATTGCCAACAATTCTGCTAATCTCTCCAAAGGATGATTCTGGGTTGTTTTGTGTAATCTGCGTTCGCATTTTACTCGAATATAAAATATAGCCCGTAACTAATTTTTTACCGGTAGTTTTCTAAACAGAAGAAAAGACAAATTATAATGTCACCGTATAGTGAACCGATATTGCCTAAGTATACCTTCAAGAGGAACACATCCTATTGTGGAACTAGTGTTAGAGAACGAAAATTCAATGGTGCAAAAACACAAAGTATGCTGGCATATTTCTTAAATAAAAATAAAGTGAACAAATAAAAATACAACAAGTGACAATTTGGTAAGCAAATGATTTCACTGTATAAAGCCTACCTTTCTAGACGACACAGGTGTTTGAATACTAGAGAGCACCGGTTGAGCTTCAGTAGATCCAACGGATGGTGGACCACCAGCATCCATGCTGTCCTCCCCAACACCCACTCCTAATCCTTCTCCCACGCTTAGTAGTACTTCAGGTTCCAGCTTCAGTAACAATGGCGATGCTTCCTATACCATTTATGTTTTGTTACCTTCATTATCCGTTACCGAATGTTATGTTATTTGATAAGTTTCGAATATAATCTTACACAATATTACAAACAATGGAATACATTTTAACATAGGCTTTGCACAATTGTTATCCTTAAGTATTCAAAAATGTTAGTCATTTTTACTAAATACTAAATTCACTTATTTTTTCTTTTTTTTTTTTCTATTAAACAATTCAAACCCAAGAAGCTACATATACATATTTAAATATATTATATTTTAATTGAAGATTAATTTCATTTACGGTAAAAAAATATTAGTATCTTATGCACTCCATTTAAAGCAACTTTTTTCATTCTTATATAAATCTGGTTAGAGCGACATGGAAGCAAGTAAATTTTCGGTGGTGTTGTATATTATATATACAGGTTTAACAATATAAACCCAACAGGTGCTCTGAATTTGTTCCCTATATCTAAATTATTGCTCATCCCTATGAGTGCCATGTGTAAAAACATAACTGCACAATAATAATAAAAGAAAATAAATATGCCGGCATAAAATAACACAACATGCATATGGACAGATCGATACAGCAAGATGTATAAACCTGAAATTTATATTATATAACTGATGTATTAAGAACAATAGTTTATTCTTTTGTTTCCTAATCTCGTTGACTGAATTATTGATATTTGAATTATATTGAAATTTAATCTGCTGCATCAGTCTGTATGATATTAAATGCATGCAATTTTGATGTTGCTTCCCTCAGGACAGATAGTACAATTTTGTAAATTAGTAATTACCATATCAAACTGAGCTGAACTGGGTGTGACGGACTTGACTTGATTTTGCGTCTGAGCCACGTCACCCGGAACCTATAACACACGCATTACATGCCAAGCAATAATTTTATAGTTAGTTGCGTATAAGAATGAAGCTGTACTTTGTTAATTTGAATTTATATGATTTAAAGGTGTCATTAATATTTAAGTTAATATATTGTTCTTAAGGAAGTACACTCACTTTAGCAGGATTAATTGGTCTCCGGAAGAAATAAATTTCATCTTCTGTAACAGCAGAACTATGGTTAAATTTTTTTAATCCTTCCTGACTTAGTTTTTTCATTAAGCTTTTACTTTCATCGTAAAGAGATTCACAAATATAAATATCATCTTCTGGTATTTCCGTTGGTCGACCTACAAATAATAAATTATTTTAATATTTATTTACTTCATTATTTTATTAATTTCATGAAAGATATTATTGTAAGAACTAATAAGTATATCATTTTTAAATACATTATTAAAATAATACTATTATTATATATTATTTAATATACATACTGCATATATATTCTCCATAATCAAGGACGGCACATTTTCCAACAATTGCAACAATAGGGTGAGTACCATCAACTGTAGATAGGAATAATTCTTGCTTATAAAATAATTTAGTAGGCGCATGTGGAACTTCTCCTGGCATTAATAACCAAGGACCTTTGAAGTAACATTTGCCGCTGTAAAATATGTAATATTTACTTATTAAAATATTTTCATTTCTCTTCAACTAATGATAAATATTAAAATGTTTGGACGTACTCTTTCGTTGACCATATTGCATCAATTTGAGCTATTTGTTGTCTGCCACCATCTGTTGCTACATAAACAAAATCTCCAGTTTTCACAGATCCAGCACATGTGTTATATTGTTCATAGTACGTATTTTCAGTATCTTCAGGATT